GGCGGGCTTGGGGCTCCCGGAGGGTCGCGGCGCCGGCCCCGCTGTGTCGCAGACGCAAACCACGCTGGCCTCGGTGTGCGGGAGACCCCGGCCAGGGTCCGCACCCCTGCGGGGTAGCGTCAGGACGCGGAGAGGTCCAGGGAGACCAACTTGACCTCTGTTGGGAGGCCTTCCGGGCAGAGGCACGCCGCCGCACACGTCCCCGGGAAGTCTGCCCCCGGGAGTTGCTACCCTGGCACCGGCACAGCTGCCCCTGGCTGCCCGAGTGACCGACTGGGCTGAACTCAGTTTGTGAAGCTCACGGTCTTGGGCCGAGGCAGGAGGGTGGCGGGCGTCGGTGTTCTGCCTGCCAGCGCTTTCCAGATCCCTGACTGCCGTGGCCCCGCGGTTCACAGAGGCATTGATTCATTGTTTGCCATCTGGCGCATGTTGAAAGTCTGTTTAATCAGCACTTTAAAAATTGTAATTGCTTAAGGGGGGGGAGGAATGAAATTGCAGCCAGATAGTACAGGGAAATATGTGCAGATGTGAAGAAAGTTACAAGCTGGGAGTGGTGGCCCGCACGTGTAATCCCAACACGCTGGAGGCTGAGGCAGGAGGATCGCCATGAGTTCAAGGCCATCCTGGGTTACATAGCAAGACACTGTCTCAAATAAAAGTAACATTAAAAGGAAGAGCAAAGCCGGGCATGGTGGCGCACACCTGTAAACCCAGCACTCGAGAGGCTGAAGCAGGAGGATCACTGCAAGTTTGAGACCAGCTTAAATTGTATATCGAGGGCCGGGGATATAACTCAGTAGCGTAAGCGCCTGCCTGGCAAACTTGAGGTCCTGAGTTCAGTTCCTGGTACAAGGGGAAAAAAAAGACAAAAAAATAAAAAAACAAAAGGAATGGCAATGCTTCTGTACTTCTTAAAAAAGAAAAACTGAAAAAATTTTGCAAAAATGTTACAAGGACTTTCAGCCTACCTTTCTACCTAGTCTCTAATGTCAGCCTTAATTGCATTTTCCTGTTCTTTAGTTTTTTGAGCTGGATTCTATCATCCCACCCCCATCTGTAGGCATGTGTGTGTGCATATGTGTCATTTCTTACATCATGACTGTGCACGTGTATGATTTTTTCCTCTGGAACACTGGACAGGAAGTAGCACCCAGATGCCCCTCAGTGTGTATTTCTTAAAACCAGCGCCTTCCACAACACAGCCGCTGGACAGTCACCCCCACCGGGGAGCGACGTGTGACGTCCTCAGTGGGAAGCTCTCATCGGCAGTCCTTGGGTGCCACGCACCCCTGATGCCCCGGAGCCGACCTGTCAGGGTTACTGGCACGTGCAGGCGTCAGATCTCACTAGGTCTCTGGGGTGCGCTCCTAGGGGCCAGCGGGTCCCGGGCTGGTCCCCGTCCTCTGGCTCCCGGGCCGGTGAGAAGGGGGCCGTTTGGTTCCCTCAGACCCAGGGCCCGCTGATCACTGACTGACTCCGGCTGCACCTAGCAGCGCTTTTCTGCCGGTAAGCGGAGGCTCTCCTGTGTCTTTCTGTGTAGTCTCAGCAAACTGACAAGCACAGTCCTCTACCCGGGTCTGTCCGATACTTGGTGCAGTTGGGTTCTGCTTGTGCAGCTCCAGTAGGTCACCCCCAAGGGACGTCCGTGCATCAGCCCAGCCAAGTCCCTCTTCACACCCTGCAGTGTTCTCATCCTCCCCCCTGGCTGGTGCCCACCTCTCCTACCCCATCCTGGGCCCTTGGGATCCCGGGACCCTCAGGGCCTGTCTGTGTCCTGCCTCGGTGGAGATTACGCCTGCTCCGGGCCTTTGCACTCGCTGGTGTCCCGTGTAACTCTCCTCCCACACCCAGGCGTAGCGGCCCCTTTTCCAGCGCCACTGGGCACCCTGGCTTTTCTCTGAAGCACTGTGTTACTCACTTCCTGCCCTCTATCTTTCCTTCCCTCACCAGGAGTGAAGTCCCCACTCTCATCCTGAAGGGCGCCTGGTGCGTACTACGTGCTCATGAGCGCTGCGGCATTGCCGGCTGCGTTACTGCTGACCCCTCCTGAACACGGAGCAGGTGGGGACAGCGGCGTTGAACTCTCATCGGGCGAGTGCGGTTTAAACACATGTGCTTGGTGGAACCTTACGAGGCTCCGTCACGCCTCCGACTGATGATGAAGCAGACGGCTGAGACCTTTACCAAACACAGGCCATAGCTTTCCTTCCGTGTGGTCCCCGTACACCTTGGCGACTTTGCAAACCAATAAGGAAGCTGCTTCCCAGGCTTTGTTATCTGATTCGCTCTCAGTGCAGCTGAGAGACGGCAGTGAGTCACCAAGCGAGACGTCCCCTCTCCCGTTCCCTTCTCTGACCCTCAGTTTACAGCCCCAGGAGCGCAGGGCCCCTCGAGATGCAGGTGACCTCCAGCCAGCTCAGGGTTGCTTTTCCCAGAACGCACACGGAGAGGCGGGTCAGCGGTCCACGCCACCCGCGCCTGGGGGTCTGCCTCAACTCACACTCAGGATGGCTGGGGCAGGGTCCTGTTTTAAATTACAACTGGTTGGTGTGCGTGGTGGCACACGCCTATAATCCCAGCATTGGTAGGCTGAGACAGGCGGATCACCATGCTTCCCAGACCAGCCTGGGCTATACAAGTTCAAGGCCAGTCTATATTACACAGTGAGACCCTCTCTCAAAAATAAATAAGGGCTCTAAAACACGTCCCTGTGTTCCTGGGTGCTCCTCTGCTCAGAGGCGGGCCCGCGTCTGCTGCACACGAGCTCGTGCTGGACTGGGAGCCCCTGGCTGGTGCGGTCACAGGGCAGAGCTCGGGCTTGGGTCTGCCAAGCTCTCTTGGGAGAGCGAGTGACCAGCCCACAGCGCAGTCAGCCCTGCGGACAGGCTCCTTCAACGAAAGCTGAGG